CCATGCTTAGCTACTTTTTGTATTTTTAGTAGAGACAGGGTTTCACCATATTGATCAGGCTGGTTTCAAACTCCTGGCCCCAAGTGATCCACCTGCCTTGGCCTCCCAAAGTGCTGAGATTACAGGTGTGATTTATCTGCCTCAGCCTCTCAAAAGTGATGGGATTACAGGTGTAAATCACAGTGCCCGGCCAACTTTTGCATTTTAAATTCATACAGTCAACTATTCCAAAAATGGAAGCATCGGATCTAAAGACTGAACTATATAGCTCAGTAACCATTCCTGGTGAAAAGATATAAACCAGAATTTAAAGCCAGGCAATTGTTTCCAGTAAGATGCACTTCTTATTCAAGCCATTGATGTTCCAGAGACTATGAATACTTCTAGTATTCATATGTCATTGCTGGATGAATGAAAATACTTGAAAAATCTTAGGAGCAGTAGCATCCTGAATCCCCATGTAGAGGTCCATATAATATTTTAATCTCCACTCTCCCATTACCAAGAGTGTGGTCCTGAATTGGTCACTGCATATTCCTGAACCAATGTGCCTTTGTGTATGAAGAGTGCAGAGTGGAAGATGTATAAGATTCCTCCCCCTTGAATAATTTAATTCAGCAGTGCTGACTCTGCAGTTCCCTTTCTTTTGGGCTTGAAGGAACAGCAACAAATGGCTGAGTCCTTTGCAGTGTGTCAACAGGAAATTTATCTGCTTTCCAGAATCAGTGTGCTGCTCCCATAATTCACAGCTTGCCTCTGAAGGGAGGTTTTACTTACTCCATTTCCCATGGAGATACCAAACTCCCTAGAAGGAGTTACAAGGCTAACAGCTGGGACTCTGTAGTTTCCAGTGACCATATCAGGTACATTTTAGAAAGTTTACTTGCGACCAGAGTAGTGTATATTCACAAGCCCAGCCATGACACATATCTTTGGTTAGTGTTTATTAAGTAGTCATGCTAAGTTATGTGATCACCTCTTTTTGTATATACTGTGTATTAGTGACCCCTGCTTGGTAGATGTCCAGTAGATGTTTGCTGTTGATGGTGATGAAGATGGCATATGTCTCAAAACTGAGATTTACATAATGGGAACCTTCTGAAAAGATGATATCACATTTGTTAAAACAAAGTCTAGATAGGGCAAAACCCCAGTGTAAAACTAGTGTGAGGTTGTGCTGTTACTCCCTTGAGCTATGCATAAAATTATGCTAGAGGGAAGTGAGGGTAATCCATGGCTTGTGGCATCAGCCTTATGGAATCTTTAAGTGAACGATGAAAAGGTGCCCCCTTCTGGGAAAATGCAGCTCTGCAGGTGCAACATTGAGCTACAGACAAAGACGGGCCTCTCTTGGTGGGCCATACCCCTGCCAAGTTGGGAGGCTTGGCAAGTAGAATGTCAACTGAATTTTGCCTGTACTCATCCCTGCATCTGGGAACCTTTGTGGAATGCACAAACTGCCCAATCTTGCAGAATGGCCCTCAGTGAATGCCACCGACTGTGTAAATATAAACAGATCAGATCAGGGCTTTGCAGTGCTTTATGCAGACATCTTAAAGCAATAGCTATTACCCTAAAGTTACATGCTGATATGTATATTTATATATATAATTATATCGATCATATGTCTTTTGATATAATTATTTATAACAGAATTATATTATATAATTACAATTATAAAATATATAATTATATATAATAATGGAGAGGTGTATACTATATATACTGTATAAAGACAGCATACTTTATAAATTTATATATTTATGTCAGTATCAAATACTATTATATCAGTGTATATATACATAATACTATTATTAGGTCACGGTATATATATTAGGTCAAATACATATATGTATACATATATACACTGAAATATATACATTGACATAAACAAATACATATATGCATATGTATTCAAGTACATATATGTATACATATGTACACTGGCATAATATATATACACTGACATAATAATAGTATTTTATGCTGACATAGATATATAATTTATACTGACATACTATTTTATACTGACATGAACACATGCTGACATAAATATATACATAAATATATAAGGCTGTTGCTTCCACCTATATGTATATATGTATACATATATACATACATATATATGTCAGTATATATATACATACTCCAAATCATTACACAGCTTCTTAAATTCTTCTCACTTGCTTCTTAGTTAAGAAGACCAGATTTGAGTTTCAGTAAGAAATGAACAATAGGCAGTGTGTGAATAGGCAGGTGTTACCACTACATTTGGTAACCAAAAGTGGATAAAACTTCCACCTACAGGTACAATTGAAGGTCATTATTCAATGATGTAAAATTTTCAGTAAGTTGTCTTTAAAAGAAAATTGAGCGAGTTGGTTTTAGTCTCACAAAACCAAATGGTGGTGAGAATTCAAACATGACAATATATAGAAAAGTGCTTTGAAATTCTAAAGACCTATACAAATGTTTATCACTTTAATTTTTAAGTTAGCCAATGTGAAGCTTAACAAGAAACCACAAGAAACATTCTTGTTTCTTGACAACACAGAAAACACTCCTGTTTAAGTTAGGGAAAATATAATAATTCTCTTTATCCCCACAATTACATACCATTGTTAAGAAACATGAATCCAGCAAGATAAATTACATGGAGACATAAAAAAATTAGATGAGAAGGGTGAGATTATCATAATTTTGGGATGAGAAGACTGTATACCTGGAAAAGGCAAGAAAGGCAATTGGAAAATTTTCATAAATAAAGGAATCCAACAAGTAGGTACAAAATTAGTATACAGCAATTATAGCCTTTACATAAATAAAAACATTTAGTAAAAGTTGAAATAATAAAGATTCCAAGTATAACAGTCAAAGGCAAATAAACATGAATAAAAAATAAAATGAAGTACAAATTCACACAAGGAAAAATTTTTAAATCTAATAGAGGAACAAGGAGTATCTAAACAAACACCCAGTGCTTGAGAGGGATATTCACTAGTATAAGGCTGTTGCTTCCACCTAAGTTAATCTATACATTTAATGCAATCTCAATGAACTTGCCATTTAACTTTTCATTCCAGCAATGAAGGACTTGATATCTTGAAAACCCTTGTACTACAGATACCTAAAAATGAGGGATAACATCTAACTCACATCATTTTAAATGACTAGCCGGAAGACACTGATGCAAGAAAAAGAAAAAGGGAACAGATGCAACATTGATGCTATGGCCCAGCTGGGATAGAAGATCTCGGGGAAGGTGAAGATCTCCATGACCCCAGTCAGGTTTCAGCATTACTTGTGAATAGCTGAGCACTACACAGCTCCATGGGTGGCCATCCTGCAAGGTGAGATGTTGTAACTGCTGTCCACACTGAAGTCTGGACCCTTTAAAGAACGTACAGTTCATGAAAGGATGAACAGAAAAAGCTTTCTTGCCGTCAGCTGTGATTTGGATGGCATAAAAGGTCTCTGATCATTTACAACCACAAGTTTCTGCCTCATGAGGGTCTGGGGTTAGCATTTATATTGCCTACATGATTCCAGAAACCACAAGCTTGGTAATTACCATAAACATTGAGCAGAGTCATAGAAACTGTGGCAGCACCTGGCAGATACTTTGGGATAAAGCTGTTCTTTAGGAACCCACCTTTGACCCAGGCACACAGAATTCACAAATTAAACACCCAATGAAAATGAGTTCACTGTCCAAAACTTCAAATCACAAAAGGTAAAAATTCTCCAAATAACTAGTTAATGGACGCATAATATAGCATTATTAGAACATGAACAACACTAAAATACAATTAAAAAAAAAGTTATGGGCAAAATTGTCCCTCCCCACCCCAATTCATAGTTAGAGCTCCTAACCCCAAGTTTCTCAGATGTGACTGTATTTGAACACAAGGTCTTCAAAAAGGTAATTAAAGTAAAATAAGGCCATATGTTTGGATCTTAATCCAATATGACTAGAGTTCTCATAAGAAGGAAAGATTAGGGGACAGACACCCAGAGGGAAGAAGAGATACGGCCATCTACAAGCCAAGGGGAGAGGCCTCTGAACAAACCAACCCTGCTGACACTTTGATCTCAGACTTTCAGCCTCCAGAACTGTGAGAAAATAAATTTCTGTTATTTCACCCACTCAGTCTGCAGTACTTTGGTATGGCAGACCCAGCAAACGAATTCAGCTTCTGTAATACAATAAAAGGGTAGAGACTGCACTGCAAATCTGTTTAAAATATTAGAAAAATGGCCGGGCATGGTGGCTCATGCCTGTAATCCTAGCACTTCGGGAGGCCGAGGTGGATGGATCACCTAAGGTCAGGAGTTCAAGACCAGCCTGGCCACCATGATGAAACCCCATCTTTATTAAAAAAAAAAAAAAATTAGAAAAACACAGGAGAACACACGTTGGAAGAAAGAAAAGGACTCTTGTGAAAAAGAAAATTACTAAAAGAAGTACTTTATGAAGAAAGAAACTGAATTCCCAAGGAAGGAGTGGGACATAGAAAGAAAAGCTGAGCAAAGAAATCAATGTGTTTGCGAACCTAAGTGAGTATCAGTTGTATTAAATGGATTTTTTAAAAAAGTAATTGCTAACTTGGGAAGTGTAAAATAAGATGGTTAGTAAGACATTGAACAAAATACCATGTTAAGATAGGAGTGCAGTAAAATCTTGCTGAGATCCTTATAGTTGGGGGAATATGTTAGAGATATTAGTTCTGTTTAGATTTTTGGTCACATATGTGTATTAAAAAAGTAAAGGACAACTACCAAAAGAGCAGATATTGTATAATAATTCTTATTCCAAAATATGTAGAAAGGAAAATTAAAAAAAAAAGAACAAAGTAAAAATAATAAATCCAGTACCAGGCAAGAAAAAATGCTTTAAAAACTAGACAAGCCTAAGATTCTAAGGTAGGAAGAGTTCCGTGTGGAACTGCCCGCTTCCCTTCTGTGTTAATGTTCTGTGTTCATTACACTGAAGACAACAATGAGTAGACCAGCTGTAGGTCCATGCTGGAGTTTTTCTTTCATTGTCAACATATGTGGGGGATCAAATGACCATCTACCAGCAGTAATCCTGCCACCAGGCAGCACGGGCTGGAGCAGGACACCCAGAGCCATCAGACGAGACTGCTGCTGCTGGTGAATCGTGAAGTCCCCTCCCCACCCTGCCACTGAAGGTGCTGGAGAGTCCCGTGAGTATGAGAGATCTTTGGGGAGAGCTGCCGAGCCCTGCAGAACACTGCCACAAAATTTGTAATCACATTGAAAAAACAAATGGAAAATAGTTTTTACAATGAGCACAGATTATTTATTTATTTATTTTTCAGACAGAGTCTCACTCTGTCACCTGGGCTGGAATGCAGTGGTGTGATCTTGGCTCACTGCAACCTCTGCCTCCCAGGTTCAAGTGATTCTCCTGCCTCAGCCTCCTGAGTAGCTGGGATTACAGGTGTCTACCACTACGCCCAGGTAATTTTTCGTATTTTTAGTAGAGACATGGTTTCACCATGTTGGTCAAGCTGGTCTTGAACTCCTGACCTCGTGATCCACCTGCCTTGGTCTTCCAAAGTGCTGGGATTACAGGTGTGAGCCACTATACCTGGCCAGAATTTTTTTTTTTTTTTGAGACAGAGTTTCGCTCTTGTTACCCAGGTTGGAGTGCAATGGTGCGATCTCTGCTCACTGCAACATCCGCCTCTTGGCTTCAGGCAATTCTCCTGCCTCAGCCTCCTGAGTAGCTGGGATTACAGGCATGCGCCACCATGCCCAGCTAATTTTTTGTATTTTTCGTAGAGACGGGGTTTCACCATGTTGACCAGGATGGTCTCGGTCTCTTAACCTCGTGATCCACCCACCTCGGCCTCCCAAAGAGCTGGGATTACAGGCGTGAGCCACCGTGCCCAGCCCAGAATATTTTTTAAAAGAAAATTAACTTAAAAAAATCATCAAAACAAATAAAAAACTGAGTCAAACCTCTCTTTCTGCCTGAGAGGGGGAGAAATGAGAGATGTCTCATTTTATTATTACATATAACATGACGGTGCACACAAGTATTTCAACAGTGTCGGCCACTGTTCTGTCTGATGTTTTCCAGGGTTTGTAAGAGACCGTGGCCCAACACTTCCTGGGAACCATAGCACAGGCCTGCTGCTTCATGAAAAAGTGTGCATGCAATTCCTAAGGATACCACGGGTGAGATTTAATAAATTCATATTCTCTTCCAAAATCATATCCTTTGGGATCCTCCATAGGGCTGGACCAATGTTCTTAACTCTCCTAATCTCACATTTTTCTAGTTAATCACATAAAGATATAGACAGTGGTTTAATCAGCATAGGATTATTTTGCTTTGCATATACAACTTCTTTATTACTCACTATATGATTTTGAAACTTTTTTTTATTTTTGAGACAGTCTCACTCTGTTGCCCAGGCTGGAGTGCAATGGCATAATCTCACTTGCTGCAACTTCCGCCTCCCTGGTTCAAGGGATTCTCCTGCCTCAGCCTCCCAAGTAGCTGGGATTACAGTCATGTGCCACCACGCTAGCTAACTTTTGTATTTGTACAAGAGATGGGGTTTTGCCATGTTGGCCAGGCTGGTCTTGAACACCTGATCTCAGGTGACCCATCTGTCTCAGCCTTCCAAGGTGCTGGGATTACAGGCATGAGCAACTGCACCCGGCCCTGATTTTGAAACTTCTTAACTGATTGTTTTCTTCATTCATCATTTCATAAACCTTGAGGATAGGGCCATAGTTTGCATTTGTAGCCCACTGAGCAGGGCTAAAGGTTAGCTTTAAAACAATAGGGAAAGTACACTTAGAAGAGGGCCAACTGTTTACCTCTTGACTTGGGGTTTTATACGTTGGCCTACTCGTGGGATCTTGCATTGCTTTTCCCCAAGATCTTACTGGGAAGCTGCTGATCAGTTTCAGGTGTTTTCTCTCTATTAGGAGACTGCTTTTCCCTGGTGAGAGCTGTGATCAATTACTACTTTAGGGAGACAATTAACAATGGTCTGACCATCACCTGATGATCACCCAACGTTCCTGCTGTGTGTAGTGGGGAAGCCCACTCCCGCCCTGCTTATACCTGACCACTACCTACTGTAACACTTCTCCCCTCAAGATTCCAAGACCCCAAAGATTTGGGGGAAAATGGACAAAGGTTAGTCTTCTGTAACTGCTTCCTGCTGACACGGGGTGGGGTGGTGGTGGTGGTGGTAGTTCTGTGGGTCTTGGCCTCTTGCTGACCACATAAGAGCCCTGCGCAGGGCTGACCCCACAGCAAGCACCTAAATCTAAATGTGCTGAATTTTCTTGATAATGCTAAACAGAATGCCTATGAAATTGATGCTGGTTATCAGCCTTATCCACCATTAAGCTTGGGATTCATTAGATCTTTGTTCAGGGTCACTTTTGGCCAGCTGGTGGCCATTTAGACCTTCCTCCAAGAATGGAGAAGAAGGAAAAAAGGGAGAAGCAGCAAAATCAAAAGTTAGCAAATAGCAATTGGAAGCGCTAGGAAAAAACTCATTAATAAAGGAACTGGGACTATTATTTAAAAATCTTTGCAGAGTTACATTGTCCACATTCCCTACAACAGTCTGTGAAGAAAATTAAGTCAGAGAAAGAATAATTACCTCTGATGTGAGAGGTGATAGGAAGTCATGCTACACAGCTATCAAGAAGGCAGTGCCAGATATGTGGCAAATTTCCTTGGGGTTTCCTGGAAGTACTCTCAATATTACTTATTTTTCTGTGTATTGGTGAGGTTGGTTCTTACCTATAAGACAGTTCAGCATCGGCTTACAGGTCTTTTCTGGTGAACCTTCTACAAGTCCCTCCAAACAGAATGAATAACTGAATTTCCATTTGATTTCATTCATGTCTCCCCTGTAGTGCACACCATAGTGCCTGCAATTAACTGCTAAAAATTTTTTTTTTTTTGAGATGGAGTTTCACTCTTGTTACCCAGGCTGGAGTGCAACGGCGCGATTTTGGCTCATTGCAACCTTCGCCTGCTGGATTCAAGCAATTCTCCTGCCTCAGCCTCCACTGTAGCTGGGACTACAGGCGTGTGTCACCATGCCCAGCTAATTTTTGTGTTTTTAGTAGAGATGGGATTTCTCCATGTTGACCAGAATGGTCTTGATCTCTTGACCTCGTGATCTACCCGCCTCGGCCTCCGAAAGTTCTGGGATTACAGGCATGAGCCACCGCGCCTGGCCTTAACTGCTAAAATTTAACACCAGCACTAAACAGTGAGCATTCGAGAGAGTAATCATGTTTAACTGATATTTCCACTTTGCATAGTGGTCTTTACAACAGTAGCCATTACTATGAATGAGACCTTATTATAATATCAGATGTTATAACAAGCACATTGCATATATTATGTCATCTAATCTTCACAAAATCTTTGCACAGTAGTTATTACACCCCTTTCACAAATAAGAAACCTGGACTTAGAAACATTAAAGTAGCTTGGTCCATGTCACAAGGCTAGTAAGTCATAGAACCAAGGGGTCTAATTCCATAGCATATGGTCTTCCACATCACAGTATGCAGTGGTGGCTATTAAACACTGTTAGGCATCAGAATCTCCTGGGAATTTGCTGAAAATATAGATCTCCAAGCCCAAGCCACTGGGATGATACTGAATCAGTAGATTTAGCACACAGTCCCCAATCTGCATTTATTCTTCTGAGATGGAGTCTTGCTTTGTCACCTACGCTGGGTGCAGTTGTGTGATCTCAGCTCACTGCAACCTCCACCTTCTGAGTTCAAGCAATTCTCCTGCCTCAGTCTCCCTAGTAGCTGGGATTACAGGTGCCTGCTACCATGCCTGGCCAATTTTTGTATTTTCAGTAGAGACAAAGTCCACTCGGCCATAATTTTTGTGTTAACACATAATAACTATACATATTGTATATAAGCAGAATATGTAAAAAAAAATAACAAATATACACATTGGTGGCACATATGATACTTTGATCATGCAATGTGTAAAAATCAAATTAGGGTATTTAGGATAACCATCACCTTGAACATTTGTCATTTCTTTGTGTTGGGAACATTCCAAATCATCTCTTCTAGCTATTAGAAATATATAATATATTGTTAACTACAGTCACTCAGATGGAACTGGAGGTCATGATGTTAAGTGAAATAAGTAAGGCACAGGAAGAAAAATGTTGCATTTTCTCACTCATATGTGGGAACTATAAAAGTTGATCTTGGCTGGGCATGGTGGCTCACGCCTATAATCCCAGCACTTTGGGAGGCTGAGCGGGGGCAGATCACCTGACGTCAGGAGTTCAAGACCAGCCTGGCTAACATGGTAAGTCTCTACTAAAAATATAAAAAGTTAGCCAGGCATGGTGGTGGGCGCCTGTAACCCCAGTTACTCAGGAGGCTAAGGCAGGAGAATTGCTTGAAACAGGGAGGCAGAGACTGCAGTGAGCCGAGATTGTGCCATTGCACTCCAGCTTGGGCAACAAGAGTGCAACTTCGTCTCAAAAAACAAAAAAAAAAAAAAAGAAAAAAGAATAAGTTGATCTCATGGAGGTAGAGAGTAGAATGCTAGTTACTAGAGGCTGGGAAAGGTAAGTGAGGTATGAAGAGAGGTTGGTTAATGGGTATAAAATCTGCATTTTTAACTAATACCATCCCACCATCCCCTCTCCAGGCAGCACTCTGGAGATCATTACAATGCTGCTAGTATATAGTAATGTAATATACTACAGTAATGTGCCAGATGCTCAGTGACAGTGAATGAATAAATATAAGGTTTACTGACATTTATGTAGGAAAAAGCATGTGACATTCTTTGTTTCTGTCTTTACAAGGGTAAAGATGGAGAATCATCATGTATCTCATGGTGGTTATTAATCTTTGTTGGATATCAGAATGGTGAAATTGATTTAGGATTCACCAATTAAATAAATTCAAATGTACTCATTTGTATCAGGACATCTCACTTTTCAGTTACTTGATTGTGGATTCTATTTGTTTTCTTTTTCTCATATATACTTCCCTTTAAACTGTAGTAACAGAGGTGGGGAAGCAATGTCTTGGAAAATAAATAAATAATAATAGCTTATCTTTAAAGGGGGATCTAAAGTTTATGCATGCTTTCACGTGCATTATTTACCATCTACGAGGCAGGATGCCAGAGCTCAGAGAGACTGTCAGTGGTTTGCCCAAGTAAAAACAGCTTGAAAGAGCAGTGAGGATGAGAATTGGTTCTTGAGGACTCCATGCACACTGTTTATCCACAGCAACACAGCAGGCACCTTTCTTTCTCATATAACATAAATTCTCAGGGAAATCAGTGTGATACAGTGCAACATTATTTATCCTTTCTGTGTCTCAGTTTTCTCATCTGTAATATGAGGCAGCTGAAACAAATTTAAGAGAGATACCCTGTCCAAACTAAAACAGCTATCCTTAGTAGCCTGGTGGAGGGTATAATCAATTTCCATGTCTCCATAACCAGTTCAACCAATCTGTCTTAAACTAGGGGCCAGTAACAGTGGTAGGTACTTCAGGTGCAGGAACAAATCAGACACAATTCCTTCTCTGGCATATTATGTCTTTCACTCTTGCCCAAGCTGGAGTGCAGTGGTATGATCTTGGCTCACTTTAACCTCCACCTCTCAGGTTCAGGGGTTCTCCTGCCTCAGCTGCCCAAGCAGCTGGGATCACAGGCACTTGCTACCATGCCTGGCTAATTTTTGTTCTTTTAGTAGAGACGGGTTTCACCACATTGGCCAGGCTAGTCTTGAACCAGTGACCTCATGATCTGCCTGCCTCGGCCTCCCAAATGCATGATTACAGGGGTGAGCCACCGCACCCAGACGCTGGTAGACATTTTTTTTATACCACTGCCTTTTGAAAAATTGTTTCCAAGGCCAGAGTAGCATGCCTTTCTATGCCCTAGCTCTGGTCTGCCAGCTCTTGAAGAAAACAGACAGCACAGCCCTGTCTTGAAATGTCACCAGTGTGCCTGTGGTCAGTGCCACATGGCCATGCCTGGAGGTCTTAAATCTACTGTCACTCAGCAGCAGGGCTGGACATCAGCTTCCCTTTGGTAATAAAAGCCATTTGTGGACTCTTCAACATTTCAACTTTTCTCTGTTTCATAGTTCATAAAGCACCTCTGTGAGGTGGACGGATTTTTTTTTAAA